GGTTCTTTAAGTAAATATTAGAGGAAAAGACTCTCCCGCTTCTGGCAGAGCCTGGGGAAAGAGAGCCATTGTGAAATGTTTCAGAGCACTCTGTTCTTAACAAGGCCTGTGCTCAGGAGAAACTCACTAGCCAGAGCCTTACCTGATAGAATAATATCAGAGCTTAATCTACCTTGGGATAAGAACCTTTCTAGTTATCCTGTCCACGTTAAGGGGGAGAGAAACAAACTGAGAAGCTGCTCACTAAAAGACTGAGACCACCTACGCAACTGTCTTGCATGCTCTGCTCATGTACCCCAAAACCTATAATCCAATAAAACTTAAAAAATAAAAATAAAAAAAGACTGAGACCTCATCATCATACAGTAGAACACTTCCACTTCCTTCCCCTTACCACCACACTACTAAAGCCCTATAGACGGCAGTTCCTTTTACCTGGTCCATCATGCCCAGCTATCAATAAAAAATTACAAAGCACACTGAAAGGCAAATAATACAACTTAAAAAGACAAAGCAAGCATCAGAGCAAGACCTGTCAGAGATGTGGAATTATCAGACTGGGAATGTAAAACAACCATAACTAATATGTTAAAGGCTCTAATGGATAAAGTCAACAGCAAGCAGGTTGGGTGCGGTGGCTCACACATGTAATTCCTAACACTTGGGGAGGCCAAGATGGGTAGAGTTGGAGACCAGCCTAGCCAATATAGTGAAACCCATCCCTACTGAAAATACAAAAATTAGCCAGGTGTAGTGGTGCACGCCAGTAATCCCACCTACTTGGGAGTCTGAGGCAGGAGAATCACTTGAACCCAGGAAGCAAAGGTTGCAGTGAGTCAAGATTGCATAATCTGCACTCCAGTCTGAGCAACAGACTGAATGAGACTCTATCACACGCACACACACACACAGAAGTCAACAGTAAGCAAAAACAGTTGAGCAACGTGAGCAGAGCAATGAAAATCCTGAGGGGAAAAAAAAGAAATGATAGAGGTAAAAAAATAAAAATAAAATCGTAACAGAAATGAAGAATCCCTTGATGGGCTTATTAGTAGACTGAACACTGCTGAGGAAAGAATCACCAAGCTTGAGGATATCTTAATAAAAATCTTAAATACTAAAGAAAGAAAAGAATAAAGACTGAAAAAAAAAAAAAAACCAGAACAGAATATCCAAGAATTGTGGACAACAACAAAAGGGGTAACATATATTTGATGGAAATTCCAGAAGGGAAAGAAAGAGACAAAAGAACAGAAAAAAATATTTGAAACATTAATGACTGATAATTCTAAATCAATGACAAACATCAAACCACATATCCAGCAAGCTCAGAGAACACCAAGCAGGATAAATAGCAAAACGAAACAAAATCTGCCTAGGCATATCATTTCCAAAGGGAAACCAAAAGTAAAATAATAATATTAATAATAATATCTAAAAGGAGCCAGAGGAAGAAATTGTTACCTACAGGAACAAAGATTTAAATCATATGTAGCCTTTCAGAAACTATCCAAAGAGATAGTAGAGTGAAATATTTAAAGTGTTGCTATGGTCTGAATGTGTCTACCAAATTTCATGTTGGAAATTGATCACCGGTGGGATAGTATTAACAGGTGAGGCCTTTAAAAGGCGATTAAGTCATGAGGGCTCGCTCCTCCTTCATGAATTGGAACGTTTATAAAAGAGGTTCCAAAGCTTTTAGGTTTTGTTCATCCTTTTGTTCTTCTACTCTTTCCTGCCATGTAAGGATTCAACATTTTCCCCTTCTGCCATATGATGATGCATGTAGAATTTCTCACCAGACATGAAATGCTAGCACCTTGATCTTGGACTTCATAGACTCCTAGACTATATGAAACTTCTCTTTTTTATAAATCACCCTGTCTCTGATATCTTGTTATAATAGCACAAAAAGACTGAGACAAGTATTGAGAGGGAAAAAAGACAAACAAAAAAAAAAACAGGCTATAATTCTGTACCCTGAGAAATTGTTCTTTAAAACTGTAGGAGAAACGAAGAGTTTCTCAGACAAACGAAAAGTGAGGGAATTTGTTGTCAGTAAACCTGCCTCAGGAGAAATGTTAAAAGTTCTTTAGAGAAGGAAAAAATCAGAAACTCAGATCTACATTAAAAAGGAAGAGCATCCAAGAAGGAATAAGTGAAGATAAAGATTATTTCTTTTGCTTAATTGACCTAAGAGATAACTCTATTCAAAATAATAATAGCAGTGGTGTCGTCAATTATGTACGCTAATATTATTTCATATATATGTTTCTACATAAGTGAAATGAACGACAGCAATGATGTAAGAGAAAGGAGGGAGGAATTAGAATAATCTTGTTATTGTAAGGTGCTCATGCTAGCTGTAAAGTGGTACAGTGTTAATGTGAAATTGGTCTTATATTAGTTGCAAAGGTCTTTTGCTAACTCTAAGGCAGCCCCTAAAAAAAAATAATAAAAATATACCTAGGTGATATCCTAAAAAAAAGAGAAAAAAGAAAATAGTATAAAATGCTCAGTTAAAACCATAAAAGGCATAAAATGAGTAGACAACAAAAATAACTACAAAGAACAAGGATAAATAGAAAACTGTAATAAATATGGTTGATATTAATCTCCTGACGTCAGTAATCACTTTGAATGTCAATAGTCTAAATATATCAATGAAAAGACAAAGATTATCAGAATGTATTAAAAAACAAGACACAAATCTATGCTATATACAAGAAATCCACTTTCAATATGAAAACATACGTAGCTGAAAAGTAAGTGAATGTAGCGAGTATTACATAAACTCAATTGATAAAGCAGTGGCAGAGTTTCAGATGGTTGACTCCAGTTTTGAATGTTCTGTGGGTAAACTGCTATCAAACAGCATTGAATGCTACAGAGAAATCTTTCATGGAAGGAAGGGTCAACTGATGTAGCAAACTTCATTGTTTTGTTTTAGTAAATTGCCACAGCCACCCCAACCTTCTGCAATCCGAATCCTATTAGCAGCAGCCATTACCATCCAGGCAAGACCTTCCTCTAGCAAAAAGACTATGACTCTGTAAAGGCAGAGAACATCCTTAGAGCTTTTTAAGAAGCAAAATATTCCTTACCTAAAGTATGCAGACCTAATACTCTTGCACACTTAATAGGCTACAGCATAGTGTAAACTTTACTTTTACAAGCACTGGGAAACCAAGGAATTCTCGTGATTTTCTTTATTGCAATATTCACTTTATTCTGGTGGTCTAGAACAGAGCTAAGCTGTGCAGTATCTCTGAAGTATGCCTGCACTTTAAATCATCTCTAGATTACTTATGTCTAATATAGTGTAAGTGCTATTTAAATAATTTTACACTGCATTGATTTTTAAATTTGAATTGTTTTTATTATATTGTTATTTTTTTTTTCAAGTATATTTCATCTGTGGTTGGTTGGTTGTGGATGTGGATCCTATGAATACTGAGGACCAACTGTACTGACTTTAGTTCGTTAATAATAATGTGCCAATATTTATTAAAATAATGTAATAAATGTGCCATAGTAATTTACTATCAATAATAGGAGAAACTGGGTGGAAGGGAGTATATGTAAATCTCTATACTCTCTTTGCTACACACACACACACACACACACACACACACACACACACACAGCACAGCATAGACTGCATAAAGTCAAATGAGAAAAGAAAATCTTGAAAACAGCAAGAGAAAAATAACGTTTTATGTAAGTACATCAGCAATGCAATTAATACCTAACTTCTCATCAGAAGCAATGAACACTTAAAAGATAATCAAGCAATATATTAGGACACTTTTAAAAAGTCAATTAGACACCCTATATCATTGAAACTATCCTTCAAAATGAAAATAATATATGTTTTTAGGTAACTAAATCTGAGAAGAAGTGTTGATTCATGCAACAAAAAATGTTTAAGAATATCTGCAAGACACAAAAATGACACCAGAATGTAACTCAGATAAAAAGGAAGGAATGCAACCATTGGAAATGGTAAATATGTGATGTATATATAAGAAAAAAAGTGTCTATAACACGTAATGGCTTAAATGAGCAAATTCATTGTGACTTTTGTCTTTAAAGCTTATGATGCTTATCCCCAATATAATTTTTCCGATATTACTCCTAAGGACTCTATCAATATCAACAAATTATGTCACAAATATGTATTTATATATTCTTGCTAAATATTTCTATCTCGCATTATATGCTGTAGGTCCTCAGGCTAGTTTCAGAATTCCTAGTATATGCTCACATGGGCTTTTATAAGCGTTTTAGGACATAATTATGGCTGCCCACCTAGTGTCCATATTTCTCTTTTTTTTTACTGTTAAGACTTTGATACTCCTGAATATGGAATCGTACCCAGTTAAAACCATGTGTATCAATTTTGGCCAGAGTGGGGTAAAAATTCTACAACTCAGGGCTTTTGCAAAAGCTATTGTTTTACTGATCAGAAGAACAGATTCAGCACAATGGCACCCGTATACCTATGTAACAAACCTGCAGGATCTGCTCAAGTACCCCAGAACATAAAGTACAATAAATATAAATAATTAAAAATAAATAAAGAATAAAGCAAGAAAAAAGTCAAGTGGTGGTCTAGCTCATTAAACAGCTATCCTATTTTTCATGTTACTACAAGTAACAAAGATTGTAAGGTTTCTTATAACAAGTGGATCCTTTTCTCCAGCCACCAGTATCTAATTTTCTTAAAGCTCTCATTGATAGTCTTTTTGAGAGACAGCGGGCTTCTATTAATAATCTCTTAGTTTTTGGTTTTATTAACCCTTACTTAAAGGTTTGTCAAGCTTCCTTTTGTCTGCTTGCCACTTGTTTGCAAAGCCATACACACACATGCATAAAATTAAGTGTTTTATATATATGTTAAATATATATATTTACCAGAACCCCACTTACAGATATCAAAGTCTGTTCAAACAAACCCAAAACTTGGTGACTTGAATGACAACATTAATTTTACTCACAAATCTGCATATTGGCCAGGGTTTTTCAGAGAGAGCTCGTTTCTGCTTCACTCAATATCAGGGAAATTTGAAGACAGTGTTACAATCATTTGAAAACTCATTCTGCCAAATAACAGAGGTTGATGCTAACTATTGGCTAAGTCTTCAGCTTGTCCTGGGGCTGGGGCTGGGGTTGGAAACCCTGCACGTGGCCAATCCATGTGGCTGCTTGGATTCTGTACAGAAGGACGGCTGTTTTCTAAGATCAAGCCTCCTAAAAGGATCAGACAAAAGCTTTATTTCCCTTATGAGTTAGACATGGAATTTACATAGTGTTACTTTTGCAATAGTTGAACCTCACCATATTCAAGAGGAAACAGCATAAGCTGTACCTCTCAATTGTGAAAAGAACACTTAAGATACAATGTATTACTGTATCCATCTTTGGAGATTATAATCTGTCACAATAAAACTTTTTTAATATGAGAAAATAAATCCCTAGTTGATTAAGCCATTATAGTCAAATTCCTATAATATGCATATATTCTGTTTTGGATGCATATTGTATATGTTTTGGTTTTCATGTTTAATATGTCTCCCCTACTAGACTTTAAACTTCAGTAGGGCAGAAATTATTTCCATTGTCACCTGGGTGCAGTGGCTCAGTCCTATAATCCCAGAACTTTGGGAGGCCAAGGCAGGCAGATCACTTGAGGGCAGGAGTTTGAGACTAGCCTGGCCAACATGGTGAAACCACATCTCTACAAAATATACCAAAAAAAAAAAAAAAAAACAGATGTGGTGGTGCATGCCTGCAATCCCAGCTACTCTAGAGGCTGAAGCAGGAGAATTGCTTGAACCCAGGAGGTGGAGGTTGCAGTGAGCAGACGTGGAGCCACTGCACTCCAGCTTTGGTAATAAAGCAAGACACTCTCTCAAAAATAATAAGAATAATAATAAAAGATAGAAATTATTTCCTTTGTTTTCACATTGGCTCTTAATAAAATGTTTTTTAAAGGAATGCATGGAAAAACACTGAAGCAAAACAAAGGCTTAGAGCTTTGGGAGTTTGACTTCTTTCACCACAGTCAAGTATGAAGTTCCATGTTGTGTTACACTCTGACCCACAGTCACCTTGGCACAGAGCCTCAGGGACATGATTTGCTTCTGAGGCTTAAAGGTGGGTTGGTTTATAAATTGCTCAGGAATTATAAGTGTGTGTTTGTGCATGCATGTGTGTGTGCGTGTATGTTTGTGTCAAAGTACAAAAACAGACTATGAAAACAGACAGCAACCAATAAAATGAATTCATTTCCTTGGCAATAACTTTCTAAATACATTTTATTGGCAACCTTGATGTGCTCTACAATTTCCTAATGAAGCAAATTTTATATAACCCTGAACTTCTGCATCAGGGCAAATTGAAAGAGGTAAGAGTAGTTTTAAGTCAGGCGATATGACATAAAACATTTTATTTTTATATGAGAGACAATGAAAAGCAAGGTTATATGAGAATATCTAAAATTATCCTGAAAGCATAAGACATCCCCAAATCATAGCAGTAAGTCATTAGTCATATTATGTTTATTAGAAATAAGACAAACTGTTGCTACTATTGTTAGATGTATTGTTTAAAGTAGTATTGCCAGAGTGTCATACATTGGATTGTATAATATTTATGCTCATGTCTCTTCCAAAGCATAAATTCAATAATTTTTTTAAAAAGTGTCTCAATAGAATAAAAAAATGAAACATTTTTCCCCTATGACATGTGCAATTACTTCACCGTCTAAGGAATGCATGTTGTAAATACTGGATTTATAGCAACACCTCAGATAATTACACAGTTTTAGGGGTACTAAGCAGGAAAAGAATTGCTGACTGTCCACACAATGCCCTTTTTTATTCACTATGAGTCTCAGAAGAATGTGACCATATAGGTTAACTATGTTTATGTTGTTCTTAGGGAGAATAAAGTTAAAAGGCAATATTCTTTTTAACAAGCTGAACCAACTTGTTGGAAAGAAATAGAACCTTATAAAAATTGGAATAAATATCTTCAAACCAATATGTTATTTGAAACACTATTTTACATGGTACTTTCATTTTTGTCTCACCCTCACGTAACTCTGCAAATAGCTATTCAATTCAAACTGTCTCAAGGGTGAAAGTATAAAGCTCAATGTTTCTGTTGGATTTAGTGGAGCTCACAGAGCATCTGGATTTGTTGGTCGTGGCATTCCCTCTTAAACACTCAAGTGTCTGTTTGAGCCAGTTTATACCAGAACAATTCAACAATTCAGGTTTTCCTTTTGTGTATAGAAACATCTGCTTACATGGCGTCAGTCTGAGTGAATAACATGTTATCATTTACTGAAAAAAATGACAAGATGGTATATAGCTTTTGTACCTAGTAATCTTTATTCTACTCATTTATTTTAATACTTTAATAAATTGTAGAATATGGCCTAAATCTCTGCTTTAAACTACTCCTAATGTAAATATTCATTCAGAAAGCATATTTCAAAAGCAATATTTTTATGTTTTTTAAAACACGATTTGGTTTTTATGCCTAAAATTTAGTCCTATAGTTAATACTATGTTGTTCACTTAAATTTGTTAAGAGAATAGCTGTCATGTCAAGCGTTCTTACTGCACATACCTACACACAGCAAAGCAAAGGGATACAAGGAAGACTTTGGTGGTGAAAGTTATACCTAGATTGTGGTGATGGTGTTGTGGGTGCATGTGTATAAACAAAAGTGTCAAATTGTATACATTAAATATGCACAGGTTTTTGTATTGATCGTTCCTTAATAAACATATAAAAAATGTAAAGCAAGGCTAGGTGTGGCGACACGCCTGTAATCCCAGCACTTTGGGAGGCTGAGGTGGGCAGATCAACTGAGGTCAGGAGTTCAAGACCAGCACAGCCAACAAGGTGAAAACCCATCTCTACTAAAAATATTTAAAAATTAGCCAGGCATGGTGGAGGGCTACTGAGTAAACCCAGATACTCAGGAGGCTGAGGCAGGAGAATCACTTGAACCCAGGAGGCAGAGGCTGTAGGTAGCTGAGGTCATGCCATTGCACTTCAGCCTGGACAACAAAAGTGAAACTCCTTCTAAAAAATAACAACTATATGTGTGTGTGTGTGTGTGTGTGTGTGTGTGTGTGTGTGTGTGTGTATTTATTTATATATATGCAAATGCATCATTAGGAACATTAGCATTGTTATATCTCCTTGTGTATAGAAGTTTGCAAAATTTAAATCAAGAGAGAAAATAGGTAATAACATAATAATCAATTAGAGAGAGACTTCTCTTTACTCAAAGTTTGTGCTACCAACTACTATACATATATAAATTAAAAAAATGGAATATCAAACAACAGAGTAAGTTTAAAAAAAAGAAGATGTGGTGGAATAATTCTCTGTTGCTTCATCTGATGTTGACTGTTCCTTTCCCTATTTTGTAAATTCAAGGTTTGACTTTTTAAAGCTGGTGTATTTAAGAGAAAGGAAACAAGAAAGAAAATGGGAAAAGAATGGAAAGTACTTACTTCACTTACACTTGTAGTGTTATGGCATTGCTAATTTCTATATATGAAAGCAAATAATTCATTAGCAAGTCAGCAGCACAACATTACACTCTTGAGTAGAACTATTTTGTGCATTCTAAATAGAGAAATAAAAGTGGTATTAAAATAATGCATATGGCCAGGCATAGTGGCTCATGCCTGTAATCCCAGCACTTTGTGAGGTTGAGACAGGTGGATCACAAGGTCAAGAGATTGAGACCATCCTGGCCAACATGGTGAAACCCCATCTCTACTAAAAATACAAAAATTAGCTGGTTATCGTGATGTGCAGTTATAGTTCCAGCTACTTGGGAGACTGAGGCAGGAGAATTGCTTCAAACTGAGAGATGGAGGTTGCAGGGAGCCAAGATTGTACCGCTATACTCCAGCCTGGTGACAGAGCTAGACTCCATCTCAAAAAAATAATAATGCATTTGAGACAGATAAATTTGTCTTCACTGTAGGGTACTAGAACCACTGTGCCTACATAAATAGAAGAACATAATTGGATGAGCAATTCTGCTCCTGAAAAGTTTTCATGAGTTCTTTGGAAATTAGTTAACCCTGAGAATATCTAGCCTGCAGTCTCCTCAGGCTGGATGCAATAATTTACTTGGTTGTCATTTGCAACTCCCTGCTCATCCTTTAGCATCTGGAAATTTGACCAATTATTTGACCTGAGATATTCTCTCCCATTTGGGTGATTTCCACTGATAAAATCAAAGACGAACCTTTTATCATTACGCATCATGAGTGAATTCATTTGGAGTATATATACTCACACATTCTTTTCTGCAGTAAAATCTTGGATCATGTGCTGAATTCCTGTACAAAATTTCTTCCCCTCTCTTACCTGTGTGGCCTCAATTCAGGTCCTTGATGAAGTCCCAGGAGACATATTTCAAGCTCTCCTTTTGATCCACTTGAAGACCTCCTCTATATGCAGTGAGACACAGGGGCCTGTCTATCATAGCCTCTTATAGTTGGGGTGGGGTGAAGAAATGGGATTCAGACCACAGCAAGAGTTCTCTATGCAAAATTCTTTTCTCCCACTCCACAAGCCTTCTCTCTGACTCAAAATTTCTTTCCTAAGCTGCTAAAGAAAAAAAGAAAATGATTCAGCTCAGTATTGTCTAGAAACCTCAGCTGAAACTAAGTAAAAGGATTGTATTTATAATTTTCTTGCATAGTTATAGTCACATTTTTGAATGAAGTTAGGGGGTCTAGATAATCCATTGAAGGACAGTGACTTGCGCAAAATAATTGAACATGAGATCATATTGCTACCCTGACAGATAGAGGTGGGGAAGAGAAATTAACTGTACAATGCATGGGAAGAACGTTGTTATTGAGAACATGTTTTGGAAAAAGAGCGATAGGTTACAAAAACAAGATAATTAGGACCATTAGAATTGTTACATCTACAATGCTATTGGCCACTTTACTTTGGGGAGTTTGCTGTGTCTTCAGTATGCAACTGCTTGTATCTGTAAATGAAATGAGTTTTAACATTCACTCACAAATAAACTAATAGTTCTTGAAATTTTATCATATGACAAATTCTGTGCTAGGCATGTCCAAATAGATAATTATATA